GAAACTAAAGTGATATTAGTATTATTGATAAATTTCAGTAAGATTCTTGTAATCTACTATTAAAATCTTCAGTTGACTGCGTAAAAATTTAATGTAAATAATTCTAAGGTACTTATATACCCTAACTATGAATACCGTAAAAATCGAATATCTCTCTAAGGATGTGCCAACAGCAGCTAATATTTTACCCTTGTTAGTTTGGCGGTGAGAGCTTTCTTTTGGTGTAAAAATATCTAGTCTTTTCAATTTACAACACAACACTTCTCCATTGTAAGTGAAATATCTAACAGAACGAAAGAAAGAGAACGAACATATATGAATAACACATATAACATTTTTTTTCTTATGGCACGTCTAACATAAGTGCCATAACAATTCTATTGTATGACTCGAGATTAGATATGTGCAAGATGGTTCTGGTTCTATGACCAAGACCAAAAACGATTAGTCTCGCTTATACCTACTCGAGATATACCCACAGTTCGTTTGGTAACATCCGAACTGCTACGACGAACACGACTCGAAAAGTAACAGCTAATTATCACTTGATTCTTATGAGATCATTGACAAGACTGTCTGAGAAATGTGTAGAGTGTGTTAGCTGATTGCAAAAGATATTCTATTTTTTTGGAGAAACTATCAAATGATGATGAAGAAAATTTCATTGAGAGTATTAAGAATGAGGTTCGGTCAGATTGCAAAACTTTTGAACTATAGGCTCTTTCAGATCCGAATCCGAGTTCGATCGACAAAAACCAGAAGCTGTAATTTCCTACAGGTCAGTATCGACTGGCATGAAAAATTTTTTGTAAAAGACTTTTACGTCTAACTGATATCATTAATTGTTTTGAATGGTCGACAATCAAATGCTGCAAATTCAACATAAGCGCAACGTTAATTTTCTGCTTCATTTGATTTAGAATAGCTAGTTCGTTTTTTGAATATGCGTAAAACTGATTGATACTTGTTTGACTATTGGAAACTGTCGTTTTTTTTTTATTTTGACAATTGCGAATATGCTTAGATAGTGATTTCATATCAGAAGATGATTGATAAATAAGTAAATCTTTACATTGATTGTATAGCACATATTCTTGCTTAGTCCCATTCCGGTAAATACAACTAAGACTATTCCATACAGGTGAAGATTGTTGGTTTTTAATTTATTAAGTATCGAGCGATGAGGAAAAAGAAAGACAAAAAATAACTATGCGTTGAGCTTTTTTTCTGAGTGTAGTCAATAAATAGTTAAGATCTTGATCCTTCACTTGTTTATGTACACAGAGAGTGTCGGATATTAATGAAAAAAAACTCGAGTCCACGCCCAAAGTTTAACAGCAATTACTAAATATTATCTTCATCCAATAAGCATAATGTCTGTTGATAATTCAGAAGATTCACTAGAATTTCTATAAAATCACGTAAGACACATGATAAAAATAATTTTGATCGTGAAGTAGATTTCGTAGACACCACAGACAACTATAAAGCGACCAAATTCTTCTGTAAATACAAATAACTAACTTCAGGAGCAGTCTATCACGTGGACAAATATCCAATAGATTGTTGATTACTTTGTGCTTGACTGATCTCTTCACATAGTAATAATATCTTTTTAGACTTAGAAAATTATGCCAACGTTGATCATTAAACAAATGAATCAAACTAATATTTCATAGAATGTTCCAAGAACATCTGAGATCTATATATAAATATCAAATTATATTTTGTGATGGCGTTTACCATAATTTAACAACATGATCTATAGGAAAAACAAATGTTTAGTTTTTTTTTCTTATAACAATGTTTATTTTGTCTCTGAATCTTGAATTAGAAAAGACTAACCGCCTTTAAGAATCATCATATGTATGAGTAAACATAGTTCATGGTGTCTCAAAAGTCTGATCGAAAAAAAAAACATAGATAGCTTTTCATACTTTTATACAATTCCTTCTTATATTCATTAAAATCGTATTCAATATATATTTTCAACTAGTGGATGATTAGAAAGTTTTTAGACACGGTGTTTATTCACGATTGACCCGTTAGAAAGTATTTCCAACGAGTCGAAAGCTATGACTTTGTGCTCTTGTCGAATATAGGCTTAGAAACTTTATTTCAATTTTTGCTCAAAAGTAGTAAAATAATCTTTGAAAGCCCAAAACATTAGTTTGGACGAAAAATGTTCCTAGATATTTTTGTATTTTCACTATTGCGATTCGAAACTAAAAGTTAGAATTTTTGTTTATGTATCTACTTGAAGATGAGAAGCTGCTTTCCTATCACTGGTCGAAATGTTCTATACTCTATAGAAGTTAGAATTCAAATAATTTTACTCATGGTCTATTTCGAATCAACCATCATTGTAAAAAGGACAAACACCAATTGTACATCACAATAGGATCATATTTCAACGATTTTGTAAAATTGATCAGGTTCTACAAAACCTTGTGCAATAATTAATGAAGAAAAACTCAATGAAGTTAATGATGTTCGCAAAAATTAACTAGACTTAACTATTCGATCTATTGCATAAGCTTGTTGAGACTGCTGAACAAATTATCCCTTGCATGGCTTTAATAAAAGATATTTTGTCAGAATTCAATAAATCATTATTTATGACATGGAGTAAGTTTGTGTCATAGACAGAATATACTTTTAATCTTGGTTCATTTGAATGAGTATTATTAATTTCATTGATTTTTACATGAGTTATTACGGTCGAACTTTTCCGAAACGTAATCGTTTTCAGAAAATTATGAAAATGGTATCCTAATGTAATGTTCATTTCGTGTTTTTTGTCTTTTACAAAGATGATTGTTTCGAATCAGATCATCAGTAAAATTGTTTTTATTCTAATCTCCGCAGGTATAGACACTTTATTTGAAATATATTGAATAAAACTTTTATGAGTATAAGATCGAATCATAAAAAAAAACATGTAAATCATTTTTAATATTTCTCATGCATTTTCTTTCCACCTTCTTTTTGAGTGCCCTGTTTCTTTTTATAATGATAAATGGCTTCATTTTCGAATTCCTTTTATGTGTTCTAATATTTTCCCGGAATAATTATTTTTTTCCTTTTTATTCTTAAGCTTTCCCTTAAAAATAAAGTCATATTATTTTCATGCATTGATTCCTTCTAATCTACAGCGTGTCTCATAAGTAGCACTACGATAAAAAAGTTCAAATAGCTCAACTTCTGTCCAATCGAATGACCTAATTTTTTGAGCAATGGTAGAGCTTAATTCAAAATTTCTTTTCATACAGATAATGCAAATAAATACTTACATTAAGTATTATTGTTCATCACACAAATGAAACTTTACTTGTTATTCAGTAATAAAAATACATGAGAAGGGTTTCTTCGATAATTTTCACTTATCACCTAAGAGAACAGCAAGAAGAAATAAAAACTCTCTCATGAATGATATAATTTTAATGCAAACACACCAAACTTCTAGAATTATTTGAAAAGCTAAAATTCATATCAGAAAACAAAAAAGGACAATTAAAACCAATTCAAAAATAAAAATCTCAACTTCCTCAAAAACAAAAACCAATGTTTCATGCTTCGAAATTCGAAATATTGTAACCATTGATTCTTAAACTAAATATTCCTAGAAATTTGGTATGTTTCGATTAAAACTCTATCATTCATCAGAGAGTTTTTATTTCTTCTTGCTGTTCTCTTTGATGATAAGTGAAAATTATTGAAGAAACGGTTCACATGTATTTTTGTTACTGAATAACAGGTGAAGTTTCATTTGTGTGATTAATAATAATACTTACTGGAAGTATTTATTTGCATTATCTGTATGAAAACAAATTTTGAATCAAGTTTTACCATTGCTCACAAAAATCAAGTCATTTGATGGAACTACAGTGAAGCTATTTGCATTTTTTATCGTAGTGCCACTTATATCATACCCTGTAGATATGAATTTTTCAGAAAAATCTAACCTTTTTTTTTAAACAGTAAATATCATAGAAGGATTTCAATTGAAATTGTATTTCAGACGAGTATGAAAAACTAGTTTTTTTGTCTACATACAAACCATTGTTTGACATTTATCTAAAAATAATTTTTCATGACAACGATGAATACATCAAAAGGGTTTATGATTTTATGTCATGCGTAGCTTAAATCAATATCATGCATTTGTTTACACCATAAATCGTAACTATAAAAGCTCGAACGAATATTTAAACTCAACATAATAAACAAAAATATTTCAAAATTCTAAATATGAAGTATTGGTTGATATTGGCCTCAATTCTTCTTGGTGTTACTGCTGTTCAAGGTGAATCTCCTGTCGGTGGTAAAGGTTTATCTCCTACAGCTGTTCAAGTTGATTCTCCTGAGACTGCTGACAATTTAACTTCCTTGATTCTTAAACCTCTACCATATTCTTTGTTCGGAAAATGTTCATATACAGGTGATCCACATCTTATTCCATTTCCAAAATTTCCAGGTCAAGGAGTCAATATGTATTTTTGTAAACATATTGGATGGGAAATACTTCTTCTAAATAAATGGGTATTGATTCTTGTTAAAGTTGGTCCAAATCCATATGTTATTCTTGATGTAAGTTGTATTTCTCAATATGATTAATTAATTAATTAATTAATTAATTTCATTTTTTAGTATATTATTATATTTTTTGATGGTAACCAAGGCATGAAATGTCTATTATTTGCTAGTCTTGGCTGGTCAACATGTCCACTTAGTTCATCGATTATATCAATAACATATCCAAGTGGAACAGCATGGACTCATTGGTATCCAAATGCTCAGTTTCTTAATATCCAAATTACATCATTTGTATGTTTTATTCTCATTTTAATCATATGAAATTTTTAACTCTTAATTTTAGTCATGGCCAGGAGGTAACCGTTATGATTTTGTAATTCGACAAACATTCGCTTTAATTCAACAATCATCTGGTGTATGCATTAAAAATAATTGTCCATTAGAAGCAGTTATAGCAAATCCACCTCCAATGATTGCAAAAATTTGTGATATTTATATTGATGCAGCACAACCACAATATAAAGGACGTGTTGATGATCGTACTGTTAGTTTAGTAAGAAATTCATGTTACAATGATCTTATACTTTCAAAGAATCCAAAAGTAAAAAAAAAAAGACTTCAACAAACAATCTATAATTATTTTGTATCTTGTTGTTCTATTTAGTTTGCACAATCAGCTCTTTCACTTTTGATTCATATCAGTCTTGACCAAATCAAGGGTGAAAATATTCCGAATCTTGTTAAGAAAGGAGAAGAAAATATTAATGAAGGTCTTCTTCAAGCAGGTCGTGCAGTTGCAGCTCTTCTTGATAAAGAAAATACATGTTCGGAAGAAAAACCTTGCTTCTCAAATGACGATTAATGGACATATTTTTCATATTTTTCTGCATTTTTTTTCTTTATAATCAACCTAATAATAATCATTATTTATCTTTTAATTTCGAAAATAAAATCAAGAGAAATAACGTGACATAAAAAGACGAAATATGACTAAAAGAGATATAAGGCATAGAAACAAAAATATAGGTCATATATAACATGATTTACAAGGTGAATAAGAGAAGAGAAAACAAAACAAATGACAATGACGAAATTGAAAGCATTTATGATTCATTCAACAGAGGTATACTTTTCTATAGAGATAAATAGGGAAATTAAAATAATCGAAAATCTAGAAACCTTAGACTACTAAAGCTTGTAGAAATAAAATGCATTTGTATTTTAAAAATATGACTTCTCTGATTCAAGAAAACGTGGTCGTCAATGATATAATTAAAAGGGTAAAAACTGATTCCATTACGCACTTGTATGTCGTAATTTTTCATAAGACAGTGAAAATAGTAGGAGAAAGGATGATTGTTTGCAAGTGATGAAATGAGCTGAAGAAATATGGTAAAAACTAATACAGTAATATGCCATTTAAGACGATAAAAATGATTTTTCTGAATTTATAAAAAAAGAAACCGATGTTTGGGGAAACTAAAAACGAAGTTTGAACAGATTGACTTTTCTTAAGACGAATCTATCTATGAAATTTGATTTTGGTATTGCATTTTTTGCGATAATTCTAGAAAGATGACTGAATTGAAGCGTAAGGAATAGCAATACTCATGTGTTAAGCATAAAGTAAAGAGAGTCTTTTAAATGAATCTAAGTCAAAGTATCTAAACTCAGAGAAATAAACTCAACGATGTTTTACTCTGTCTTATAGGAAACTTGCTAGTAGCCAGACTACATATTGACAATTATTCGTAACGTTTAGAAGTTTTCCATGTCACGATAATCGGCGAAAGGTAAAACCAATAGAAATAATTGCATCGTTGTCTAGCAAAGTATGCTGTAACCCATAATGTAGTCTTTTGTAGGATGAAATCAATATTTTCATGACAGACGCAATCAAATTAATAGAAAAATTAATCAAAACTTGGTATAAAAAGAGTGAACCGTCTGAATTAGCGGTCTTTTTAGTAACTATGGGTAATCGTTGGTTTTGTCGAGAAAAAAAGACAGCATGGATTACAGTATAGCATGTTCGAAAAGTCCGATTGAAAAAAGAACATCAATATCAATAGTACTAAAACGTTTCAAGCGATTTATATAAATTTCTTTAAATAGCTTCATTCAATTTTCATTGAAGTCTTATTTCATCTATAGTTGTCACGTCTTGTGCTGCGTATCAATGAAGAAGAAGTAATAGGTCA